ATTTTTTTAAATCTTGTAATCTAAGTAAAGTTGCTTTTTTTCAGACTTTTAAATGAAGCCCAGGGATCTCTTCTTGATGATGAGGTTTTGGTTAACACTTTACACAATTCTAAGGCCACGGCTGAGCAAGTAGCAGAACATTTGACAGTTAGCATGAAGACTGAAGCAAGGATTGACAATGCTCGGGAAGTAAGTAGAAAAGGCATTTTATTAGGATTAATTGTATTTATAACATAATCATGTTCTTTTTAATGTGAAATAAATATTGTCTCTGAATATTTTTGTTTATTTTTGAAGTGATTAACTTTGTAACATTATAATGTTCTGCAAATTTATATTAAATATCGCTGTAAGATAATGTTAAAAATAATATGCTTCTAATGAGATTTTTGGGAACTAAAAATTGATGAATGAGGTATCTGAAAATATATTAAGCTATGTTTGAAGTGTCTTACTCCATAGTTTTACATCTATTATGTATAGTTTGTAGTTGTGTACCCAATAATTATATTCTGAATTATATTACAATGTATAATTATTTTTTATAAAATGATGCAGCTTATGCATTACAGTTTTTAAGTATATATGTTCCACAACATACTTACCTCCTCTCATACTACAGCTATTACATGACCACTACGGTTTTTTTCCTATACCCATCTAAGCATTTTTTCTCACTTGCTCCAGTCTTCTGTTCCCCACTTAATTGCTATCGGTGATATCTGTCTCATGACACTCTCCACCTTCATCAATGTGCCCTCTATACTGGTACTATATATAAGCACCTCATTCAGATAATATTATCACTTTTTCTCGACAAAGTGTTCACTAATGGGTTTCTCTGTACTAAGACCATTGGAGATACTTTGAGCATTCTTTGTGTTACCTATTTGATTTTTGTAAAAATCATATAATTCTCTTCATTTGGTAAGCTGATACACTGCAAGAATTCCCAGATTACTGTTTTCAGCATGGATTCAATTCAGGTTTCTCCTCTACCACCTCTGATATCTAGCATTGCTCAACAGTTGAGGAGGAGTTACTCTCAATTATTTGTAGTCAAATGGAGACATATATTTGGTCCATTGGAGTTTCTCTGGGGGGCTCTGAGGCTGCACTTGCGGACTATCCTAGACATTCTGGAGAGAGAATTTAGATTCGCATTTTCCAGCATATTCCTTTACTTTGTCAACTTCTCGTGAACCCAGTTTGGATCAGCCACTTCTGTCATCTTTTCTTCAGTGGTTAAATATTGTGTGTGATGTTTTAGGTCTTTTCATGGTTGCTTTTGAGTCTCTGCCTTCCTTGATGACAGAAAGGTCCGAGGGCAAGTACTTAGTTCTCCCTCCATCCCCTGATATTGTGGTTCATGCAGGGAGGTTTACTGCTCAGTTACTTGAAGTGACAGCTATGTCTTATCTGCCATCTTTGTCAGAACAACATGCTTTAGCCTACCACCACCAAATGTACATGTATTTAGACTCTCAAATAAAATACCAGCTCCTTTAAATATGGGTCTCCAAAATGGAATCTGTGGTCTGAATAGATCACAGTTTTCTAGGATTCGTCTGACCCTAACTACAGTGTTATCATCTCTTCAACTTTTGTTGGAAGCCTCTCAGCGGTTGCCACATCAATTTGATGATGAGTTGGAATCATTGTTACCATCTACCTTGGTGCGATTTTCAGCTTCAGCACTTTCCCTAGTCTCTTGACTGGTATATTGTTGAGTAGAGATGTGTTATTGGAGGGCATTCATCTATCAGCTGCCACCCTTCGTGAGTTATGTGAGGCCCCTTTTCTCCAACCCTTGATTTTTTGTGGGCATTCTAGAGTATTTGGAATCAAGAGTTGATGTCACCCATCTGCATTCATTCCTGTCATAATTGGCTTCTCGAATTTCCTCAGCTCTTACAGGGGGTCATAGTTTCGCCCCTATTCGAGTATTCCAACCCCCAACATCAGCCATTCAGTCCATTTGTACCTACAATACATTCCACCCATATCCATGAGGTTCCTCTGCACAGCTGGAAAGATGCCAGTAGAGTCAGTAACTACTGTATGCCTTTGGGGTCTATGGGGGCTCAGCTCCGAGAATTTCTGGCTGTGTGGGAAAACCTTTACCACAGATCTATGAGTACTATAGATCCTTGCATCAGGATTGGTCATTCCACATTATCACCACCATTATCCACCCAGCCTGTAGTGTTTCCACCTCCCACAAATCCATGCAGTTCAGAACTTTATTTCAGGGCTATCAGAGATTTGTTTGTCAAGGGGGCAGTGGAGAGAGTTTTCCCGGTTCTTTCAGGGTTTTATTCCTGTCTGTTTGTTGTTTCCAAGAAGAGGGGAGACTGCACATTCCCATAGTGGAGTTTTGTGCACAAGAGTCAGGTGCTACTGTTCAAGACTCTGCCCTTTGGATTAGCATTGGCACCATATGTGTTCTGCCAGATTGTAAGAGCTTTTCCTCATCACCTCCATTCCCGAGGCTTGTGCACACACCATTACATGAATGAGACACCATCTCGTCAGTTGGTGGAACGTCACACCAGATTCCACCAAGGCAGCTTTATCATCAGAGCCGAGAAATTTATTCTCACTCCAACACAATATATCATCAACATGTATCTTAGTCGGGCTCAGCCAACTCCCATCCGCCTCTATGTTCTGGAACAGGCAGTCTGACTTATCCATGTCTCCTTCTCCCACTGCATGGATGGTTCTTTCTCTTTTGGTGATGTGGGCATCACTCACATTCTTCATTCCTTTTGGATGAGTGCATATGAGATCCCTTCCCCAATGGATCATGTATAGCAATCCACTGGATTCTCCAGTCTCCTTATTCATTATCAACATCTTGGAACAGTAGTGCAATAGGTGTTCCTCTGCTGCTACCTCATGCAGAGATCCATCTTTTCACGGATGTCACACTTTGATAGATGGGGTGTATATCTCAATAGTCTGGAATTCCAGAGCCTATAGACAGACTATGAGGCTTCCATACACATCAGTGTTTTCGAACTTCTCGCTGTTAAAAGGGTGGTGTCTCAAGGTCTGGACTTATTGAAGGAAAAATCATCATGCTTCACTCTGACAATTCCATGATGGTGTCTTACATTTCCCATCAATGGGGCACTTGGTCCAGGTCTCTTTGTTTTCGAACCTTGGATTTTCTCTATTGGGCTCACTCCCATCATGTCATTGTACTGTCTTGCATGCTTTGGAGGTGAATAATTTCATGACAGATCTCGACCCAACTGGATTCTCTCAACAGAATGTATGCTGCATTGTAATGTTTTCCATTGGATTTGCTCTCAGTACGGGACACTAATGATCGATGCATTTGCCACTCATTGGAATACTCAACTACCAGTATTTTGTTCTGTGGTACCATATCCTTGGGCATTGGCAATAAATGAATTCAGTCAGGACTGGACAGGATTGTACCTCTATGACCTTTTGTACTCATTTAAAGTTGATATGAATTTAATACTTATAACTCTCAATATATTGGGTATATCTTCACGAATTTGGCAGTCTTTCAGTTAATATTACAATTCTTTCACATATGAAAAGTCATAATTCTTAGTGAAGTATTTTTAATAAAATAAAATAAAGATTTGTCCATGAATATATTGAGTATTTGTTTTGAATAGTCCGTGTGCAAAGTAATTTTCATGTTAAAATTAAAAAACTTTTCGTCATCTCAAAAATCACAAACTTCCTTTGTGTAATCCCTTAAACCTCCTAAATGCATTTCAAGTCGTTTTTTTTTTTCACTAAATTCTTATAGTTTATATGTTATTTTCTCTACCCTATTTCAAAACGGGATTGGTCAATTCGATGAACCTCGTAACCACCAAAATCGAAATAAACCTAAATTAACCTTATTTTCTTTGTAGAATGACTTCAAATTATAATATGAAACTACATTCGTTTATCCTAAGTAGCTCTAAGTTCGTAACATTATTCATATACTAATAATTAAATTTTATTGTTTTATTGCCCTTTGAACCGTGTCTAACTACTATCGGTGCCATTATAGTTGTAAATCACTGGGGGAACGTGCAGCTCACATTCGGCTATCAAATTACATTACCCACGAACTTCTTGCATGCGTGCCTCATGAACCATTTTAATTATACTATTATTATTATTATTACTTATTTTACCTACTCTAGTCTTAAGTAACTTAAAGAGATCCATATTTTAATTTTAGTTACTTTTACAATAATAAATAAAGAATAGATATGAAAAACAAGAAATAAAGTACTTATCCAATCTTCTTTTTTCTTGCCCTCGATTGTCGAGGAGAGTTAATCCTGATTTTTTATAGTAATTATAGTGAAGTGCTTAACAATTTTTATTTAATTAAATAATGTACCAAAGAATATAGACTAATAATATGCAAAAAGTAGACAAATTCACTTATCTCTCAAAATGTTCTAGGCTTTCTAACTATGCGACAAGACCCGTTACAAATTCATTCAAGCTAGTCATTGAATTTCCCACTGGAACGATGTTGCTACTCTGAGTGCTATGATTATCTGTTCAGAACACAACATTATACAATACGTTATTATAATGAAATGTAAGAGAGAACTATCAATGAATTGTGAAAGAGAGGATATGACAGGTGGATGTGGCAAGAGGGATCTGATTTTCTATTTGATAGCTATGTAACCAAACAAAATTAAAGGCCATAAAAATTGTGGTTTTATAGAGAGTATTTTAGGTTTAATTTCATACATTTTCGAGGGATGATGGATAAAATAGGGATGATGACATGCTAAGACAAAATGTGTTATGTGGGTTACACTAGTGGGAATTCAGGATTTTTTTATACTTTTTTATACTTAAAACTTGCATACTATTGAGATATGAATTATTAGCTAAGATTTTATGATATTTCAATTGGTATAACATAAAAAAAAGTAGTTTAATAAAACTTTGAATGTAAGACACTAAAATCTTGCATCATGCTCAGTAAAGGGTACCCAGGGAGAGAGGGTTATGGTTGTATTACATGCTCTTTCTTGACATCCATTTGAGCCCTTAGCCTCATGTACTATGTATCACCTTTCTTTAAAGGTTTATTTTTTGTTGCTGCTGTCCTGTGGATGTCTCTGGTTGGAGTTGTTTGTGCTGCATGTGCACAGGATGCTATAGCATTCTACCTAATCTTCCTATACCCAGACAGGTCTTTCTTACTTAAGACACTGGCAGCCAGGGAAGGGGATAAATTTGACCACTATTTCTCACCTCTATGGTCGATCAGATCCTGATCATTTGTTATGTCCAATGAGTGCCTTGAAGTGTTAAGTTGCATGCACTAACGTCTTTAGAGATGCTAGACATCGACGTTTTTTTCAATGGGATCCTTCAGTTCCCAGGATTTATCCCTGGTTACTTTGATGAGGTGGGTACAAAAATTGATCCATGTTACTTATTCTGGGCTATCTTTGGAGGCGAGAAGACTTTTGTGAATCACAACTCATCAGATTCATTATATTTCTATTCCCTTAGTGACACAGTTGAATTGCCTGATGGAGGACATTGTGCGGGCTGGTATGTGGACCTTCCCCAATACCTTTATCTCACATTATTTGCGTGATCTAGCAGTATCTTTCTCTGAAAGTTTTTGACTACCCCCTGTAGCTATCTTATCTTAGATTATAATGAGGGGTGAGTACCTTCATTATTAATATTGTCTCTTCCTTACTTTCCAGGGTCCCTTACCACTTTTTCACAGGATCCCACTTTGTGGTGAGTACTGCCCAGGCAGGTGTGCTTTTATCAAACCAAGTACGTGTTAGCCATCATTAACCCAATATGTTTTATCTAGGTTGCAACAGGCTCTGTAGAAATGAGGGATTCCATAAGACCCCCGAGAGGCAGACTGGGTGGTATTACTGTATTACGCTGGACCACTGCTCATGGACTATCATAAGTAAGCCATAAGAGGATTCTGCCCACCCCCTGCCAATCATTCAATTAAATAAATCGGAGAATGTTTGCTTTTAAAAGTTTAGGGAACTTGGCTTACCTATTGCACTGTTTCCAGATCATTTTCCCATAGGACTCCACAGCGAGCATTACCCGCCCCCAAATATTCTACTAGTGGAACTAGGGAGTCCTTACCACACCCAGTTTTCAGTCACTGGGGTGGTGGGCAGAGGTTATTCCTCCAAAGAGTTTGAGTAAACTTCCTCCATTTTTGGAGAAGAGAGCGAAGTTGGGACCCTTCTACCCAGGACCCTGGATATTTTTTCCAATATGTTGATAGGAAAAACCCCAGCCTATGCAGGAGCCTACATGTAATACTGGTTCAGATTTGATGCTTCCCTATCCAGTTGGGTTGAGCATGGCCCTTTTTTTATCAATATTAGTTTAGTACATTGCACATGGAAGAGGTTCCTTTTTGTCCTCATAATTCTGAACATATAGTGACCCCATCCTGGGTACTTGGTTGAACACAGTTTGTTCCACATCCTCCCCATAATTACGGGGCAAGTGGAATTTTCCTTGCCCGCACGGTTGGGGAGTGAGGATGAGTGTTCATAATTCCAGACCAGATGAGTTCTGTTTCCTCAGGTTCAGTATGGCATACAGGATCCCGTTATTCCTAGTTTGGGGTGTTACATTTTGGACTTCTTCAGGTTGAAGAGAGAGAGTTTGTCCACTTAGGTGTTGCTTACCTTTTCATCATGAATCTGGTGGCATGGAATACATCACTTTATAGCTACAGGTTAGATCCATTCATACATATATATATATATATATATATTGTGGTCCAAATGTCCCTGCCACCAACGTGGGATTTAGGGTCTTTGACCCTATAATTTCAACACTGAGCCACGGGACTTTGTCTACTTGGTGATATTGATAACATATCACATCATAGTTTACCTGAAATTCATCATATAGGTTCTGAGAGAAGAGCATATCTGTTCTGGGTGTAGTGTGGTTCCCCCACTAGGGTGCTAATATTTTATTGGCACACCCACAGTCTATGCAGATACATTCTGTATGGATAATGCCCTCACTGGCCCCTCCACCTTATCAATGTGGGATTATAGCTGTAGTGTAAGGGGATTTAAGTATGTTTTGGAAGTTAACATTTTCTTAAATCGAAAAGACAGATATTGCCAAGGGCAATTAAGTGGGGAATAAAATACTGAATCAAACATGAAAAACCACTCCAATGCTTAGAGGTAAGTACTATTGGAAATACATTTCGATTTAAGAAAATGTTAACTTCTACCATTTATGAAAAAAATTTAAGTTAACATTTAATCATGAATCTTTGTTTCTTTTATGTAAAAATATTACTTATTTGTTATTCTAGGTCTACCGGTCTTGTGCCAAGAGAGCTTCCATTCTATTCTTTGTAATGAATGACATGGGGCAGATAGATCCTATGTATCAATTTTCTTTAGGTTCCTATATTGACTTGTTCATTTCTTCTATTGAAAAGTCCCAACGTTCTCCACATTTGGAAGACAGAATTGAGAAACTGAATGACTACCACACATATGCTGTCTACAAGTAAGATAAGAGAAATAAAGTAGTGTATCAATCTAACTTGTTTTGAAATTATGCTTAACCTCTATATCCATGGGTGCTCTCCATTTGATTAAGCCCTTATTGGAAATACAATGTCTACTATAGTTCTGAATTTAGTAAATGTATCTCCACGAAACTTGGTAAGCTGTTAAAAAAGACATTACAGATATGTTATTTACAACAAAATCATTATTTTTAATAAAGTATTTCTACTAAATATTTTTTTCTGAATTTACTTTAGTCAGTCACAATCAGACTCTGACAGGTCTGTGTGCAAGATAATTTCTATTACAATACCTTACCTCCACTCAAATACTAGCTTTTCTCGTTCAGTGCTGCCCTTTATATGCACAAATACTTTTGCTCACCACTAGCCTTGAAACTCTCACCTACCATATGTTTCAATGTAACTCAGCTGCATTGTTACATGCAAATGATCATGCAACAGCCCTCCACCAAAAGGATGTGACACACCCTCCTGTTGTAGCTGACTCCCTTTATGCTGTAGAACCCAATCTTCACTTCTTGATTTGGCATAGTAGTATTCAGATGTATTTATTTTTGCTTGTGTTTTCTCAGGTGGTCTCTGTGCCATGGTTACCTCCCTTCTCATCATATTTTTCCTCATGTCTCCAATTATTTTATTTGCCCTTTCAATAATGGTTCTTCCATGTCCACCATTACTGGTTATCGAGCAGCCTTGTCCAACACTTTCAGTTTTTCCCATTCTCATAGAGTATTTTCCTCTCTGGTAATCTCCCTTTTGTTCTGTTTTTTCCAGATTCTTTGTACTATTTATTCTATGCTTCTTTACGATTGGAACCTCAATGTCATTCCCCAGGCTCTTACCCAACTTCCTTTTAACCCTTGAGTACCTGTTTCTTATACCATTTGCCCTCACAGTCTATTTTTACTCGTTTTTGCCTGTGGTCATTGTAGGTCAGATGTTTTTGCTCTGGACATATCACGTGACCTTTATCACAGTACCTATGTTCTTCTGTATCTGGATTGCATTTATTTTCCCAAGATGTTGGTGACGTAGGAAGACAGTGTCTCTTTTATATCAATGTCCCTCTCTTCCATTTCCCATTGTATCATTGTTCTAATCCAGATATATTTCTGTGTCCTTTGTGTGCTCTACAGTGTTATATTGCCTGCATGATTTCCTTCCCTGGCTCCTGTTCCTCTTTATTTATCCATTAGAACCTTTCCTCTCATGGAGACATTTCACCTACCACTCTTCCATGTTGGATTTGTCACCTTATCAAATTGGCTTATTCTTCCTTATCTTCCGATTCTCAACATCTTTTGCGGGTGTCTTCTCATAAGATTCAACACCCTACCTTTTCCCTGGCTGCTTGTTTTCATTGTTCTTTCGAAGAAATAATCCAGGCTCATACGTGGACTATACTGAACACCTTCTTCTCCCATTACCTGCATCATGTGGCCATTTCCTCCTCATCTGGATATTGTGTTCCACCTGTGGCCATATTCCACACATTAATTCAACTGTGAGTGAGTGTGTTCTATATATATATATATCATATCCCTTACAGAGTCCCGAACTTTTCTATATTTGATCCCACTCTGTTGTGAGTGGCGCATATCTAGGTATACTTTTCAGCTGGGGAAGTCCCATTCTACAAATTTCTGGATGCTGGTTCCCAGGATATGGTTTTGGAAAGGAGCTGGACCAGCCTCCAAATCCACATTGTACAATCTTTCAGGTCTATAATGCCCACTGTTGAGATGGGGTGTTCTGCAAAACTGCTAGTAGGTTCACCTTGCAGTATATTGCATCATAAGTATGCCTGTCTAAGACCATACTTACTCATAGACTATCATGAGTAAAGTAGTATCAGAATAACTGCCCATTTCTCTGATACTGGATTGAATAAATCAGGACTGACTTGCTTTTCAAAATAGGGTTTTGTGGTCACCAGTTGCACTGTCTCCAGTGTTGTCTTCCTTCCAGACTGTCCACCACATTATTCCACACTTTTTCAAGTGGTGTAAGGTAGTTATTGCCACTTATCAACTCCTAGCCACTGGGGTGATAGACCATGGAGGCTTCTTCCTGAATGTGCTCAATCCCATTTAGTTGAGAGTATGGTAGTGGTGTTCTGTTGGTGTAGATGGTGTGAATCCTCCTCCTACCACAGACTGAAAGACAAATACCTCATGCTCTCTGGTTATGGACTGTAGATAATCTACTGAAATGCAGTTCAGCCCTCCAGCTGGTACCCCTCATCCTACCACCACCTGGATGTTGATTTCCAGGTGGTCTGGTGTTGGATTAGAGCTGGACCAGCCAAAATACGTCCTTACACATCTAATGGTATGGAGCCCTTGACCCATTGGACTCGATAATAAGTTCCCAATGTTGACAGATTATGGATTTGAGTGGACCACCCTGTTGCAATCCTTCTTCCTACCATCATCTAGATATCAAATACTTGGGTGGCTGGTGTTGGTTTTGGATTTGCACTGGTATTACGTGAGAAGAGATAAGGTATCATATTGGAAGTTATAATTTTCCTTCATTAAAAATGTATATTCAATAGAAACTTACCTCTTTTCACACTTTCCACCCTTCTTCCCCACTTCTGGTGCTTTTTTGGTGTCTAATCTGAAAGTGGAGATGGAGTTATATAGTATAGAGGGAGGCATCTACAACATGAGGGTGTGTCACACTCCTATTAGTGGAGGGTTGTCGCATGAGCATTTGTATGCTACAACATAGCTGAACCATGTTGAAACATGGGGTAAGTGGGAGTTTCAAGGCTACTGGTGAGCCAAAACCTTGTGCATATAGAGGTAAGTATCTATTGTAAATACATTTTTAGTGTAGGAAAATTATAACTTTCATGCTAAGAATAAATTTTTTTTCATCGTACAGTTTCATATTTCATTTACTTAATCACTAGAATCTCCTAAATGAATATCAATTTTATCTGTTTTTTTCAACCATAACACCTTGTAATTGCCATAAAAAATAAGAAATATATCTAAATTACTCTGCTTTCTTTCTCAAATGACTGCAGATTGTAATAACAAATTACAGTTATTTATCCTAAACAGCCTCATGCTCGTAAAGCATGCATTTTTTCATTTAATTTCATTGTTTTATTACTCTTTTATGAACCATGTTTAACTACTAAACTTCCTCAGCATTGTCTCAAATGGATTTGTTTTTAACATATTAACTAACTACATGATATTTGTAATAATTTATGGAACTTGAATTTCATTCAAGCTTAACTGTTTCTTTCTTTACTAAAGAAAAATACTTTTTTTTCTGCTTACATATTATGAATTCTCAACAATGGTAGCATCTTCTTCACCTTGTGATGGTGACAATGTTACTAACATGGGAACTTTGTCTTCTATTTTTACTGGAGGCTTGTTGTCTGTGGAGGATGTGGCTGCCATTGTTCAATGGATTGTAGGTTTTCTTATGCATACAGGGTCTCCTTCTTCCATCCATTTGGATGACATCCCTTCTCCTCAAAAATGAACAGGATGACAATGATCTTGACCATCTGTTTCCCTCACCAGGGTTTGCTCAAGGTACTACTTTATCTATGGAGAAAAATCCTCATCCTTCTAATCTCTTTTTTTTTTTTTACATGATTTTGCAGTTATGTCTTTATTTTCTCCAGTGCCTTTGATATCTCTCATTCTTCACTACACCAAACCCACACTTAACATTATTTTGTATTCCCCCATTTTCCTGACATCAGGGTCCATGAAGACTTGAACAACTATGCACCAGTACTCGCACGCCTCGTCCTCCTGGCTTACAGCTATTCTTCATTTGAGTTTCTTGATTCCTAATCTTTGGAATCTCTTTTACCTGCTTTGGGGTGGACCACTTAGCTTGTACTTCACTTACTAGTGCCTATTTTTAATGCCTTTGTCTCTTTCTTACCACCCTCTTACATTACCTCTTCTTCCTTCACCTTATTTCTGAGGCACTTCATCGTGCTTCTGAAAGGTTTTCTGCACAGGTTTGTTCTCTCCACCACTTTAGCCTGTACTCCTACTTTTGATCTATCCCTCCTTACTTGGTTTCTCTGCTAGTTGGATTAAGATTCTTTCTTAACTAATGTTGGCCCACCTCACTTTTATCTCCATGATCTTCGTTGGGCTCCTTTTTTTTGCCTGGACGTTTTTGGTGGTGTTCCCGACTCTCTGAAGACCCAGGTCAAGGTGGCCTGGCATTAGTTCTTATTGTCTTTTTTTATTTTTGTTTTTCACAACCTCGCCATTCTGTTCCTGTTTCTAGGCCTACTCAATTTGCGTCTCTCCTTCCCATTTCTGCTTGCTCTTTTTCTTCTTTTGTTTTCTCACTTCATGATGTTAGGGTCATTGCTCATCTTATTGGTGAGTATCCTGTCTGTTCTAGCCCAGTGGATGCCCATCTGTCTCGCTTTCACCAGCTGTTTGTCTATATATTCAGCTGACAGATGAGTTCCTCATGTTCTTCATGTTCACTCCTTTTCCTGTTTCATTTGCTCCTCTTTCCGACCTTGCTTTGAGGATGTGGTCTAGGATCTCTTGACCAAAAATGCCATCAAGAGAGTATTTACTTCTTCTTTGGAATATTACTCTTCTCTCATTGTGGTCTCTAAGAAGACTGGGGACTGACATTTGTTTATTGACCTGTTGTCTCTCAACCAGTTGATGGTTTCTTTTCTCTCTGATGGCCCTTTTCTCCTATTCTGTGGATGACCAAGCCCAGCGTGTCAGAAACGTTTTTACACATTCCACATACTCTATCATCTGGACATTTTCCCTGTTTCATCCATCAGACCTGAGTCTTCCAGTTCTATACTCTTCCTCTTAGCATTTTGTCTGCTCCTTACATTTTCAATCCAGTCCTGGGTTCCTTTCCTCACCATATTCATGGATTGGGGTTGAAATTCCATTATTACATAGATGTTTGGCTTCTCCTTGCCCCTTCTTAGAAGGACTCCTTC